TTTCTTTCTTTCTTTCTTTCTTTCTCTTTTTCTTTCTTTCTTTCTTCTCTCTTCTTCCTTCCTTCCTTCCTTCCTTCCTTCCTTCCTTCCTTCCTTCCTTCTTTCCTTCCTTCCTCTCTTTTTCAGCATAGTTTAACAACTGTGTTGTTTTAAAGTTAAGGTTATTTCATCATTATATCATCATATATGATAAATAAATATTTCATCATATTTATTTATCATATCACATGCCCTCTTTAATTTCCATCACCCAGTTACCCCATCCCCCCACCCACCTCCCTTTCGACAACCCTGTTTGTTTCCTGGAGTCAAGAGTCGCATATGGTTTGTCTCCCTCAATGATTTCTTCCCATTCAATTTTCTCTCCCTTTCCCTATTATCCTCTACACTATTCCTTATGTTCCACATATGAGTGAAACCATATGATAATTGTGTTTCTCTGATTGACTTATTTTTTTTAGGTTAAAATTATGTTACCTTTATTTAAATGTTTTGAAAAGATATTCATATATAACAGGATTTTAAAAATACACTTCTAATTTTGTATAATTTCTTAAGCAGATATGTAGTATAACTTAATCTTGGATTGTGAAAGTTTTTTTTCAGATGATTTTATTTGAGAGAGAGAGAGAGAGAGCAGAGGGAGGGGCAAAAGGAGGGGGAGACAAGCTGACTCCTGATGAGCAGGGAGCCTGACTTGGGCCTCTATCTTAGGACCCTGAGATCATGACCTGAGCTGAAATCGAGAGTCAGATGCTCAACTGACTGAGCCACCCAGGTGCTCTGAATGTTTGTTTTTGTATACTCAAAAAATTATTTCAGGGGCAAAATAAATGATTTTTTTGGTTAAATTTGTTTATGGCCTAAATTATATTTTTAATCTTCAACAGTAAATTTAATACATAATAATAATCATCTTTGAAATGAATTTTCTTTTTTTATTATGTTCAGTTAGCCACTGTATAGTACACCAAAATAAATGATTTAAATAGTACGAAACAATACTATCTTATTTGTGCATAGTGCTCTTTATCTTACAAAGTGGTTTTTTTATTTTTTTTATTGCAGCATTATTTACAATAGCCAAGATATGGAAGCAAATTGAGTGTTCATAAACAGATGAGTGGATAAGGGAGATGTGGTATATGCACAATGGAATATTACAGAGCCATAAAAAGGATGAGATTGTGCCATTTGAGACACTATGGATGGACCTAGAGGTTATTATGTTGAGTGAAATAAGATTGAGAAAGACAAATACCATATGATATTACTCATAAATGGAATCTAAAAAAAACTGCAAATGAATAAAACAAACAAACAAAAAGCAGAATCAGACCTATAAGTACAGAGAACAAACTGATGGTTGCCAGAGGAGAGGGGGGCTGGGGGTTGGGTCAAGGGGAGTGGGAAATACAGGCTATCAATTATGGAATGAATAAGTCATGGGAAGAAAAGGCACACCATAAGGAATATAGTCAATACTATTGTAACAGCAATGTGTTGATTTATGGGGACAGACGGTAGCTACACTTGTGGTGAACATAGCATAATGTATAAATTTTGTCTAATCATTATGTTGTATATCTGAAACCAATGTAACATTGTGTGCCAAATATACTCAAATGTAAAAGACTTTAGAAATGTTTTCTTTCTTTTTTAAAATATATTTTCATTGGAGTATAGTTAACATGCAGTGTTATATTAGTTTCAGATGTATAACATAATGATTTAACAGTTCTAAACATTACTCAGTGCTCGCCATGATGACTGTAGACATCAATTGTCACCAAACAATATTATTACAGTATTATTTATGTTCCCCATGCTGTGCTTCTCATCTCTGTGACTTATTTATTTTGTAGCCGGAAGTTTGTACCTCCTAATCCCCTTTATCTATTTTGCCCATCCCCCCGCCACCTTCCCTCTGGCAACCACCAGTTTGCTCTCTGTATTTAGAGTCTGGTTTTGTTTGTTTTATATTTTAGATTCCACATATATGTGAAATCATATGGTATTTGTCTTTCTCAGACTGACTTATTGCACTTGATGTTAAGCCTTCTAGGTCCATTCATGTTGTTGCAGATGGCAAGATCTTTTTTTAATGGGTGAGTAATATTCCATTGCAGATGGATGCCATATCTTATTTATCATTTCATCTATGGATGAACACTTGAGTTGCTTCCATATCTTGGGCATTGTAAATAATGCTGCAATAAAAGTTAGGGGTGCATATATCTTTTTGAATTAGTATTTTTGTTTTCTTTGGGTAAAACCCAGTAGTGAAATTGCTGGATCATATAGTATTTCTATTTTTAATCTTTTGAAGAACCTCCATACTGTTTTCCACAGTGGCGGTACCAATTTACATTCCCACTAACAGTGCATGAGGGTTCCTTTTTCTCTACATCCTCACCAATACTTAAAAACCCCCTAGTTTTATACCTGGACATGCTTCTACCACTTTATTAGTTGTAAGACTTTGGATAAATCACTTAATCTCTTTGAGCTTAAATTTGATAATTTAAAAAATGATGCTACCCCAAAATCACAAAATTCATAGAAGAAAACAGGGAGTGAGCTTTTTGACATTGGTGTAGGCAATGATTTTTTGGACTTGACACCAAAAGCAAAGGCAACAAAAGCAAAAATAGATAAGTGGGGTCATAGCAAACTGAAAACTTCTGTACAGCAAGGGAAAGCATCAACAAAATGAAAGGCAAACTACAATTTGGGAGAAAATATTTGCAAACCATATTATCTCATGAAGAATTAACTTCCAAAATATATAAAGAATTCATACAACTCAATAGCAAAAAGAAAAACCCTCTAAAGATTATTACTAATAAATTTAAAGATGGGTAGAGGATCTGAATATACATTTTTCCAAAGAAGACATCCAAATGGCCAAGAGGTACATGAAAATGTACTCAACACCAGTAATCATCAGGGAAATGAAAATCAAAACCACAATGAGGTATCATCTCACACCTGTTAGAATGGCTGTTATAAAAAAGACAAGAAATAACAACTGTTGGTGAATATGTGGGAAAAAAAGAAATTTGTGCACACTTGAAGGAAATTTAAATTGGGAAACTATGACCCTGAGGGGGCAGGAGTTCCTGGTGAGCTCATGCCAGGTGGAGGGGCCGAACTTCTAGGCTCTGGGTGTTTCTTCCCTCCTGTTGCTTCCATTACTCTCCCCTTTCCTTGTGCTATGAGAATCATCACAGTAATAACAGTAGTGACCATGATAATAGCTTGTGTTTGACAGTCTGCTCTGTACTAGCCCTTACCTGTTCTTCACACACGTGAATTTTAAATCTCACTCCACCCATGGGGGGTAGGTACAATGATTGTCCCCAATTTACAGACAAGCAAACTGAGGCATAGAGAGGAGAAATAATTTCCTACATGTCAGATGTAATTAGCGGTGAGCTGGACTTTGAACCCATGTAGCCCAGCTCTGCTGTGTAAGCTCTCAACACTCTACTTACTGATCATGAAAACCTGATTGTTCATTTCCCTCATACTCCCCCTGTCCTGTCACGTCTCTCCTTTCCTTGATGAAGTGCTGCATGCTGCTCTCAAGACTGAGGGCCCCCTTCCTCTCTCCCGCCACATCTCCATGCCTCTCCACCACCCCACGCCCCTGTACCATCACAATTCTCCAAGGGACTGGTAAAAATCTCCCCAAAGAACTGAATCCTGGAGAACAGTGACACATGATGGCATTGACCCATGGAGAGTTCAGAGGGCACCAGTGAGGACAGGTGTGGGGGAACCAGCAGCGGGGATGGAGACCATAGCCAGCAGTTTCAAGGAATGGATGAAGCCAGCTGCCAGCTAAGAGTCCATGAGTAGAGCAGGGGAGGGTAGGGAATGGATGGCTGCCATCAGAAGAGGAAAGGACAGAAGACTGGACATTTATGGAGGAAGAAACAGTTTCTCTTATCTCCAGAAGACTATCTTGGAGCTTCACTTGGAGAATAAGCCTCCTTTCCCCCCTTGGTGCAGAACCCAGACCCTAGCATGCTCTCCTTAGCTTATGTCACTAAGTCTGGGCAGACTTACCTCTACTGTTCTGGGCTGCAGCTCCCAATGTCAACAGCAGCAGCATCAAGAGTCCTGGGGCAGAAAAAACAGTGAGAGAACAAAGAGAGGAGAGTGGAGCTCCAGTTTCAATTCCTGGTGGCATGGTCATTGCCTCCTGGGGAGGTGGTTCTGACCCTGCAGCCCACAGCTTTCCAGCAGCATCCACAAGACTCTTGTACTTTATGTAGAATTGAGGACCAGTCCTATTTCCTCCCTCTTCCTGGACTCCCTGAGAAGTTAGTCACTAACGGACACCACCCTCATGGAGCCTCAGTGTTACAAGTAAGGGGACAGAATATACACAGACAACTGATGTCAGGGACACAACTTAGAAATTCCAGCCTCTCCCGATGGAGGGGGTAAATCTTGAAGCACAAAGTCCACAGATGAGTGGACTGTGCTCTGTCCACAGCCAGGTCCTTTGTTCTCTGGCAATGACAGAAATCTACCTTGAGGATTACTTTTCCAGGATCACTCCCCCCTTGTTTAACCCACATGTTTTGGGGCACACAAGAAGAGCATGGATTTGGGAGTCAGCGAGCCCCAAGTCTGAGTCCCAGCTCACAGTGGTATTGGCTGGGCAGGAAGCCTAGGAATCACCAGATTGGGAGCTGATGACAGGTGAGGTCTGTGAACTATGGCATTGGCAACTTGAGCCACCATCTCCTTGTTAAGTGGCCTCTCCAGATGCAGTGCCCATGGCTTCTATGGTTCCTTCCAAGTGAGCTCCTGGCCATCCTACAGTGCACTGAGGACATAGGATTTCCCTTTATCTCCCAGTCTGGTCCTGAGTGATGGGTCACTGAGCAGGGTTAGTTGTATGAAAACCACTGCAGGTGTGAAGGAATCTACCCTACAGGCAATCACCTGACCACCTGTTAGAGTCTGTCATTCCATTCATGGGAGGCAATGAAGCTTATGAAAATCTTTCCATATCTCAGTATCTTTATAGGATTTTCCTAAAATGTGCCCAGCTATAAAAATAATCATGTTCTGCACATCAGATGATAAGAAATGTGACTATTTTCACAAAAACCAGGGGAAAAAATTACAACCAATGAGGACAACTGAAACACTTAACTTGTTATCTAACAGGTATTATCCTAAGCATTGAGGGAAAGAAAGACTAATCAGCATTAAGCTGTCCCTGCTATTATGCACTGTTATTGCCCTGTCAACCATTCCATGACCCACACAAAGCCTATGAACTAAAGGATGATGTTCTTCTTAGCTTCATTAGAGTTTTCAGAGAATTTGGTTATGTTCCCTTGTGAAAAAAATAGTATAGGTGGTATGAGGGTTAATTTCATGTATCAATTTGGCTGGGCCACAGCACCCAGATATTTGGTCAAACACTAATCTAGATATTGCTGTGCAGGTGCTTTTTAGATGAGATTAACAATTAAATCAGTAGACTCTGAGTAAAGCAGATTATCCTCCATAATGTGGGTGGGCCTCATCTAATCAGTTGAAGACCTTGGGAGAAAAGACTGACCTCCTCTGAGGAGGAAGGAATTCTGCTTTCAGAATGACTTCAGACTTGAGATGTAACATCAAGTCAGCCTGCTGGCCTGCCCTGCAGAATATCAATTTTCCAACCTCCACAATCTCATGAACCAATTCCTTAAAATGAATGAATCTCTCTCTTTCTCTCTCTCCTTCACCCTCTCTCTCTCATACACACAGACAGACAGACAGACAGACAGACACACACACACACACACACACACACACATTATACTGGTTCTGTTTCTCTGGAGAAACTGGACCAATATAGGTGGTAAAATGAGAAATCTCTGTTGGATTGGCTCCAGGAGTAAGTTTTACTGATTTTCTCCTTTGAGACTTAATATAAATGAGCCAACATCCTTCTTAAAATCTATTCCCTTGGGGGCCTGGGTGGCTCAGTCGGTTAAGCGTCTGCCTTCGGCTCAGGTCATGATCCCGGAGTCCCGGGATCGAGTCCCGCATCGGGCTCCCTGCTCGGTGGGGAGTCTGCTTCTCCCTCTGACCTCCTCCGCTCTCGTGCTCTCTCTCTACCATTCTGTCTCTCAATAAATAAAAATCTTAAAAAAAAAATCTATTCCCTTTGTCCTTTATAGAAAAAGTGGGAAAACAAAACAGATTATCAAGAACACAGAATATTTTCTAACTGGATAGAGAGTTCCCAGATAGCTTTAGTTATCTGTCATTATTGTTATAATTCTACCTACCTGGCAGCAGTAGATTTCTGTTTCTCATGATGCAGGCACCCGTGAGCCCAGGCACCGAGGACGTCTGGTCTTGGTCTGTGTGTGTTACAAAGACTTACTGTTTTAAATCTGACTTGGGCTCCAGAGGAACTGCCACAGGAAACCACTGGTCTGGTTCCTTTCTTTCCAGATAATCTGTCTTGTGATTAACTTCTCACAAACTCCACTTCTATTTTTTAAGTATTTGCATAGCATTACTGGTGTTTGTACTGAAAGCCTCCTTGAAGGCGGTTTTTAAATCTTTGTGGTACAGGAAGATGTGATCCTGTGTATTATAAGAACTTCCCAACATGAAGAATTACTCTGCTGGTTTTTCTATCTCATGAAGACCTCGGATCAAAGTCAACAGAATTAACTATTTAGTATCTGTTAAAAGACAATTTTTAAAAAAGATTTTATTTATTTATTTAATTTAAATTCAATTAGCCAACATATAGCACATCATTAATTTTTGATATAGTGTTCAATGATATATTAGTTGTGTATAACACTCAGTGCTTGGATTCCAAAACCCCAAGATCATAGCCTGAGCAGAAATCAAGAGTTGGACACTTAAATGACTGAGTCACACAGGCGCCCCTAAAAGACAATTTTATTGAGGTATAAATGCCATACAGCATTATATTAGTTTTAGGTATATAACATAATGATTTTATATTTGTATATATTGTGAAATAATCACCACAATAAATCTACTTGACATCCATTACCATACATAGTTGCAAATTTTGTGTGTGTGTTGATGAGAACTTTTAAGATCTAATCTGTTAGCAACTTTCAAATATGCAATATATTATTAATTGTAGTTACCATGCTGTCCTTTATAGCCCCATGACTTATTTATTTTGTAACTGGCTGAATAATATTCATATATATATAAAATTCCATTATATATATAGACACCACATTTTCTTTATCCATTCATCCACACCATGAAAAATGTTGTGCTCCATTCCACTGGCATCCATGATTTCTGATGAGAAATGAGCTGATATCTGAAACATTTGTTCCCTTAGGGATGAGGTATCATAATCTCTCATTGCTTTCAAGATTTTTTTCTTTGTCTTTAGATATCAAAAGTTTGATTGTGATGTGTCTTGGCCCTAATTTGCTTAAGTTGATTCTGTTTGGAGTTTCCTCAGCTTCTTGAATCTGTATGTCTTTGTCTTTTGGAAATTTGAGAAATTTTAACCATTTTTTTTTCCCTCTGAATAGTTTTTCAGTTCCATATTCTCTTTCTCCCTCTGGAATTCATTTTTTTAAATTTAAATTCAATTAGCCAACATATAGTACCTCATTAGTTTCAGATGTAGAGTTCAATAACTTATCAGCTGCATATAATATGCAGTGCTCATCACGCAGTTACCCCATCCCCCCAACTAGCTCCCCTCCAGCAACCCTCAGTTTGTTTCTTAGAGTTAAGAGTTTCTCATGGAATTCAGTTGCAGAAATATTAGATATTTTTTATAGTCCCATAGGTCCCTGAGATGCTGATAATTTTTTTTGTAGTTTATTTTGTCTGTCTTATTCAGATTGCGTAAATTATACTGTTTTGTCTTCAGGTTCACTGATTTTTTCCTTCTTTTGTCCCCATTCTGCTACTAAGCCCATCCAGTAGAGTTTTCACTTTTTGTATTTTCTCAGGTCTAGAATTTCCATTAGGTCTTTGTAATCATCCGTTTCTTATCAAAGTTCTCTGTTTCTTTGCTAAGACTTTCTATTTATTCATTTGTTTCAGAAAAGTGTGCTTGTAATTCTTCATTAGAACATTTTTTTAACTTATTTTTTTTGATGTAGTTTTCCATGATTCATTGTTTGCGTATAACACCCAGTGTTCCATTCAATACGTGCCCTCTTTAATACCCATCACCAGGCTAACCCATTCCCCCACCCCCTCCCCTCTAGAACCCTCAGTTTGTTTCTCAGAGTCCACGGTCTCTAGAACATTTTTTTTATGGTGGTTGCTGTAAAATATTTGTCATAATTTAACATTTGTGTCATCTCAAGTTGAGGTTTTCCTGGTTCTTGGTATGACAATGATTTTTTAAATTGTATCCTTGGTCTTTATGGTATTATGTTTTGAAACTGGATTTTATTTGGATCTTATGTTTTGGCAGACTCTTCTGACATCATGCTGAGTGGGGGGAGGAGTGGCCATGTTGTTGCTGGCAAGTGAGGGTGGGAATGCAGATTTTCCTCTTGGGCCCACTGACACTCCTGTGTGGGAGGGGTACCTGACATGGGATTGAAGGGATGCCTTGTTACTGCTCCTCACAGGGCCTCTACTGACACGATGAAAGTCCCAGCTCCTTCTCAGTCAGAACCCCAGCGAGTGGGAGGGAATGCTTCATCACAGCTGGGCAAGGGTAGAGGTCTGGGCTTCCAGACTTGACCTTTGCCAATGAAAATAAGTGTGGGGACAGTTTTTCTCTGCTATTTGGTTGGAATAGGGCAGTTACTGCTGAAATATTTTCTGTTTTGCCAGGCGCTCCCTTTCCTGGTCCTTTGGATAGGGAGAACTGCCTTTTCTTGGGGACATTTTTTGTTGTCTGCACCTGTTGGCATTTCTGGGCTGCCAGCCTCTTTAATTCCAAGCCTGGGATAGATGAGGCAAAGCAAAAGCTCATGGGCCTCGCCACTGCATAGTGTTTTGGGTCCCAAGGTCCCTGTTGTATCTTCCTTCCCTCTATCTTTTAGAGTGGTGTTTTTGTTTTGTATAAAATGCTTATATATAATTCAGCTGTGGTTGTTTTTAAAATAAAGTTTTTCCTACTATGTACTTTGTTTTCAACTTATTCTTTAATCAAAAATGTTTGGAGAGGTTTTGCATGTCACTGTATGTAGATCCACATCTTCCTTTTTGGCTGCTGTTGTATATATGTAGATTACAAAATATATTTTGCTTTTCTCCTTTTAAATGCACATTTATATGGCCTCCTGTTTCCCATTGCTACAATAGTGCTGCAGTGAATGTCTCAAAAATACCATAAGGAAAACATTTTTAAATTTCCTTAGACTAGGTGGTTTATATACTGGGTTACAGAACATATATATTTTATGTTGTAATAAATTCTGCAACTCTTCTATGTAATGAGACTGTATCAAATTACCCAGGTGCCATAGGAGAGGATCAATTTTCCACATGCAATCAACACTACTGCTATCATATCATTTTTTTGTTTGTTTTTCATTTTTAACATGAGAAATTGTGTTGATCTGTGGCTTAAGTGACCCTTAGGCTCTGGTTAATCATTTATCTCGTTTAGAAGGAAATTGATAGAAGAAAGACACAGGAACTTAAAATTGTCAGGAAGACATGTTCATTATATATTCGTGGACAGGAAAAATATCAAAGACTTCAAGAATATAAGCCAGTCTCTCTGAAGGATGAACAGGTTTTTTTTATTGATAGGATGACACAGCCAGTCTAGATGATCTGTAAGGGACATTCCAACTTTACAATTCTAAGTTTCTATTTAACTATTAGGAGGCTTAGGGTTTACAGATGTCTTGGAATCTTAAAATTATACATTATCAAATGTTTTCATCTCCCCCCCAGTTTGATGGGTAAATGACTTATCTTAATATATGAATTAGTATCTCATTAACAGTGTTGTTGCAGTTTTCATATGTCTTTGTATTTTCATGGTGGTCTCTGTGAATTATATACTCCTATCTTTTGCACACTTTATTTTATTCACCATATTTTTCTTACTGACTTTAAGGCATTAGGAATACATATGTGTGTATGTATGTATCTATAGCTAGATATCTTTTGTTAAACAATGCAAAATTTTTTATTGTATCACATGCATTCAGACTCTGAATATGGTGTCTTTTGTCAACATAAACATTTTCCCCCCCTGGAAACTTTGTCACCTGCTTTATTTTTGGAGAAGAGTAAAGGAGGAAGAGAAAATATTCACTTGAATTTGAGGGGCAGCTAAATTGGAAAGGACACTACCGGGGCGCCTGGGTGGCTCAGTTGGTTAAGCGACTGCCTTCGGCTCAGGTCACGATCCTGGAGTCCCGGGATTGAGTCCCACATTGGGCTCCCTGCTCGGCGGGGAGTCTGCTTCTCCCTCTGACCCTCCTCCCTCTCGTGCTCTCTCTCTCTCATTCTCTCTCTCTCAAATAAATAAATAAAATCTTAAAAAAATAAATTGGAAGGGACACTACCAACAATTTTAGGCCTCTAAGTTTATTCTGGTCAATAAGGGAATACTGAAACTTCCTGGTTTGAAAAGTCAAGAGATAAATATTATCTTAGAGCAAGAGCATCCATTTTCACAGGGATAAAAGAATAAAGAACAACAAATCCAACAGCACCAAATGAGGTTTAACAGAGGAAATAAGGCCAAGTTTCTCCATTCAAGTGCAAACTTTTAATTAAAATATGCTCACAAATCATAGTTGTATTCCTCTTTTTTATAAATTTTATTTTATTATGTTATGTTAATCACCATATATTACATCATTAATTTTTGATGTAGTGCTCCATGATTCATTGTTTGTGCATAACACCCAGTGCTCCATTCAATACGTGCCCTCTTTAATACCCATCACCAGGCTAACCCTTCCCCCATCACCCTCCCCTCTAGAACCCTCAGTTTGTTTCTCAGAGTCCATAGTCTCTCATGGTTCGTCTCCCCCTCCAATTGCCCCCCCTTCATTTTTCCCTTCCTACTATCTTTTTTTTTTAACATATAATGTATTATTTGTTTCAGAGGTACAGGTCTGTGATTCAACAGTCCTACACAATTCACAGCACTCACCATAGCCCACACCCTCCCCAATGTCCATCACCCTGCCACCCCGTCCCTCCCACCCCCCACCACTCCAGCAAACCTCAGTTTGTTTCCTGAGATTAAGAATTCCTCATATCAGTGAGGTCATATGATACATGTCTTTCTCTGATTGACTTATTTCGCTTAGCATAATACCCTCTAGTTCCATCCACGTCATTGCAAATGGCAAGATTTCATTTTTTTGATGGCTGCATAATATTCCATTGTGTATATATCTATATCTATCTATCT